TACACTTAGAACATATCTCATTTGGAATAGTCAAATTCCAAATGCTAATGGCTACCATATTGGACAACATAGTTCTAGACCCTTGATACTCAAAGTGTGGTCTCTGGACTGTCAGTATTGTATCACAAGAATCTTGCAAGGAAGGCACAATATCAGGCTCCAATTGAACTTAGAGAATCAGTATTTGCATTTAACAAGCCCTAGGTAATATAACTTGCATACTGAAGTTTGAAAAGTAAGGCTTTATATCACTTTGCTCTACTACCTCTCTTTGGGATAAAGGCACAGCATACTATAAGTATTATTCAAATATAAAATGTAACCCTCTGGTTGTCACTCTACTCACTAGATCATGGTTGAATTGTCTGAAAATCAGTCAAATAAAGTGACTGTGTACTAGTATTGTATTAGGCACTGTGGGGTTTGCTGAGCTGAAGAGGACATGGTCTCTGCTTTCAGGAAACTTAAAACTGTCAAAAGATGCCTGGAGAATAATACTCTACACAAAAAAAAATCTACTCTTCTTCCCCATTAAAACCTTTAAATCACATTTTCATCTCAAAAGTAAATGTGGCAACCAGGCACTGGATTGATCAAACAAGCTTTCAACTCAAGAGGTTCATGGGACAGAAACAAAACAGTTTCACTCCATTTGAAATTGGCTCACAGCAATGGTCTGAAGCAAACACTTGGGCTTTAGGACATGAACTCAAAGGGTTCTTCTGAAAGGGTAGCAAACCTGTGTTTTTATAACAGGGAAATTATAACATTCATCATGCTCAAATTCAGGAGCTGTGCACTCAAGTCAAGAGAAACCTGACAGTCTGATTTCCAGGTTCCAGTGACTTAGACTAGGAATTCTTTTTTAAAGCCAAGAAAAAATAATAATAAAAAATAAGAAAAAGAAAAAGAAATGAGGAAGTGCCAGTCCTTGTTTCTCTGTGTAGGTGTTGACAAGCTATTAAATCATTAGGCTGTCCCTTGCCAGAAGCAGCAGAATAAATCTTGGAAGTTGACAAATGGTCAGGAGCTCTGTGTGTGCCTGCACACTCAGACACATACACAAAGGGCACACTGTTTTCCTTGGTGTATCTCCTGGCTATGTAAATATTTCATCTGACATTTGCGTTGGATTCTGAGCTAGTTTCCCACCAAGCTGATGGTTTTTAATCTGCTTTCAGCAGCCTGCAATAAACTGTCTAACCTGTCTACTCAGTGCAGTATACTCTTCCCTCTGGCAAACAGAACAAATGGAACCACAAGATCCCCAATATACTATTCTCAGATGTCTGAAGATGAGTAATTTCATCCAAGCTCTGCCCAAGTCAGAAATACAAACTACGAGATGCTTGACTCATCCCACCAGTACCAAAGAGCCTTTCCTAGACTAGACCAGTGCCAGCAGGAGGTCACGATATATATATATATATATATATATATATATATATATATATATATATATATATATGCCTTTGACCTGCCATACTATTGAAGACAGATCTTTGACTTAGCATAACTGTCAATGCTAAAGATGAGGATGGAAATAATCTCATTCATTCTAGGTTATATACATTCTGGCTTCCCTTCAGTTTCAAATGAATTTCTTTAGTTATCTAAAATGTAGAAAATGCTGTGATAACCTAAACCACAAATTATTGGCTCAGAGAGCTCCTATAAAAAGAAAAGAGTTACTGAGACACCTGGATGCTACAATGTGATGACCCTTGAAAAAAATTATGCTAAGTAAAAGAAGACAATTGTAAAAGACCATATATTGTCGAATTCCATTAATATAAAATGTCCAGAATAGGAAAATCTATAGATATAGATAGTAGATTAGTTGTCACCACGGTTGTGGGGGAGAGGAATGAGATTGATTGCTAGTGGGCATGTAATTTCTTTTAGGGTACATTAAATAGTAGTAATGATTTCACAATTTTATGAATATACTAAATAGCAATGTGTTACACACTTTGAGCTGATGAATTGTACAGTATGAGAGTTATCTATAATAATGAAAGCATAATATGCTAATTAGATGGGATTTCCTTTCTTCCAGACAAAGCCACAGTGGGTGGAGGCTGTGGCAGAGGCAGCAGAGGTCTCTTGGCTGAGGCAGCACAGCAGGCAGGGGCTGGGGACAAGGCCCTTGTATGAATTTTGTGCATTGGGCCTCTGGTATCTTGATAAATCTGTTTCCAAAAGATTAAGGGTCATTAATTTTTTTCTCTTTTCTTCCCACCAATAGTTTCTCAATATTCTCAGCCTTGTTATAAAAGAAAAGCAATAAATAAATAAATAAATAAATAAATAAATAAATGGCATGCAAGTTGGTTCTAGGAAAGCTATCACATCAGAAGGGTCTATCCTGTCTACTGCTACAAATTCTTTACCATTCATTCATTGATCCAATTAATCCATTGAAAGTCTGCTATGTACTAAGCTCTGAGGATAGATACAACATAAATAAACCCTTATATTTTTATTCAGAGCATATGATAAGGATGCTCTCAACACTGACCCTGAGACACCTGGATTCATGAGTTGCCTTTGGAATAATGAAAGATTAAAATATGTTAATGACAATGTTAGTGTAATTTATATTCCTTTTTCAAAAATTGGCAATTAATGAATGATACACTTCTAATTTAAAAGTTTTAATACCTGAAGTATAAAGTATACTGGGTAATTTATAATAGTAGTAAAGCAAACTATTTAAAGAATAAGAAAAAAATACAGTCTTTCTGTTTCGTCATGATGTTGTAAGCAAGAGTACTTAATTAATACAGCTAGAACAGAAAAGTTATAGCATATATTTTGAGGTTTCCTCCTTTAAAAAGAATTGTTTTTGTAAATCCACAGGATTTATTAAGAGCTCCATTTTTAATTATTTGAGAAAACTCCATACTGTTTTCCACAGAGGCTGCACCAGTCTGCATTCCCACCCTCAGTGCACAAGGATTCCTTTTCTCCACATCCTCACCAGCACTTTTCATTTGTCAATTTGTTGATGATAGCCATTCTGATAAGTGTGAGATATTAACTTATCATCATTTTAATTTGCATCTCTCTGATGATTAGTGACTTTAGCGTGTTTTCATATGTTTCTTGGCCTTCCTTATGTCTTCTTTTGAAAAGTATCTATTTAGGTCCATTGCCCATTTTTTGATTGGCTTTTTTATCTTCCTTTTGTTAAGTTGTATGAGTTCCCTGTAAATGTTGGAGATTAAACCCTTATTTGTGATAACATTGGCAAATATGTTCTCCCATGCAGTGGGCTTTCTTGTTCTTTTGTTGATTTGTTGTTGTTGTTGTTGTTGTTGTACAAAAGCTTTTTATTTTGATGTTGTCCCATTTGTTTATTTTCGCTTTAGTTTCCATTGCTCTAGGTCTAGGAGCTATATCAGTGTAGAAAGTGCTTCAGCATATGTCTGAGATTTTTCTGCATGTGGATTCCTCTAGTATTGTTATTGATGGTTTCCCACCTTATGTTTAAGTCCTTTATCCATTTTGAGTTTATTTTTGTGTATGGTGTAAGTTGGTGATCTAGTTTCTTTTTTTTTTTTTTGCATGTATCTGTCCAATTTTCCCAACACTATTTATTGATTCCATTGTATGTTCATGCCTCCTTTGTCAAATATTAATTGAGCACAGTGGTTTGGGTCAATTTCTGGCTTCTATATTGTATTCCATTGGTCTATATGTCTGTTCTTATGCCAGTATCAGCAGTTTTGAGAACAGTGGCTTTGTAATACAGCTTGATATCAGGTATTGAGATCTCACCTACTTTGTTCTTCTTTCTCAGGATTACTGCAGTTGTTCAGATATTTTTTTTATTCCAGATGAATTTTTGGAGAGTTCTTTCTAGGTCTGTGAAATATACCATTGGTATTTTAATGGGGAGTGCATTGAATATATAGATTGCTTTAAGTAGTTTGGACATTTTAATGATGTTGATTTTATCAATTCATGAACATGGTATGTTCTTCCATCTGTTTATATCTTCCTCTATCTTTTTTTTCAGTGTCCTGTAGTTTTCTGCGTATAGGTCTTTTACTGCCTTAGTTAAGTTTATTCCTAGGTATCTTAATTTTTTTGGTGCGATGGTAAATGGGATTTTTTTCTTGTTGTTGTTTTTAGTCTCTCTTTCAGTAAGGTCACTATTTCTGTATAGAAATGCTGTAGATTTTCTGGTGTTAATTTTCTATGTTGCTACATTGCCAGATTCATTTATTATGTCTACTAATTTTTTGATGGAGTCTTTACGGTTTTCTATGTACAATGTCATGTCATCTGTGAATAAGGACAGTTTCACTTCTTCTTTTCCTATTTGGATGCCTTTTATTTCTTCTTGTTGTTGAATAGCAATGGCTAGTACTTTTAGTACTATGCCAAACAAGAGTAGTGAGGGTGAGCATCCCTATTTAGTGAAAATGATTTTAGTTTTTGCCAATTGAGTATGATGTTGGCTGTGGGTTTGCCATATATAGCTTTTATTATGTTGAGGTTTTTTGCTTCTATCCCACCTTGCTGAGAGTTTTTATAAAGAAAGGGTCCCAACACACTCTATTGAGAAGCTGTCTTGCCTCTATTGTATGTTCTTGCTGTCTTTGTAAAATATCAATCGAGCATAATGGCTTGGGTCAATTTCTGGGTTCTCTGTTCTTTTCCATTGGTCTATATGTCTGTTCTTGTGCCAGTACCAGGCAGTTTGAGAACAGTGGCTTTCTAACACAGCTTGATTCTGATATTGTGATCCCTCTAACTTTGTTCTTCTTTTTCAGGATTGCTGCAGCTATTTAGGGTCTTTTTTTTTATTCCAAATGAAATTTTGGAAAATTCATTCTAGGTCTGTGTAATAGGCTGTTGGCATTTTAATGGGGAATTCATTGAATCTATAAATTGCTTTGGGTAGTATGGACATTTTAATAATGTTTATTCTAGCAATACATGAATATGGTATTTTCTTCTTTTGTTTATATCTTCCTCTAGCTCTTTGCTCAACTTCCTGTAGTTTACTGAGTACAGGTCTTTTACCTCCTTAGTAAATTCATTCCTAGGTATCTAATGTTTTTGTTGCAATGGTAAATGGGATTGTTTCTTTAGTGTGAATTCATTATTGGTGTGTAAAAGCAATAGATTTCTGGGTATTAATTTTGTATCCTATTACATTGCCAAATCATTTATTAAATCAACTAGATTTTTGATGGAGTCTTTAGGGTTTTCAGTGTACAATATTGTGTCATTGGTGAATATGACAGCTTTATTCTTCTTTTCCAATTTGGATGCCTTTTATTTCTTCTTCTTGTCTGATTGCTATAGCTAGCACTTCCAGAACTCTGTTGAACAGGAGTGGTGAAAGTGGACATCCCTGTCTTATTCCTGTTCTTAGGGGAAATGGTTTTAGTTTTTGCCCATTGAGTATGATGTTGGCTGTAGGATTGTCATATAAGGCTTTTATTATGTTGAGGTTATGACCCCTTTAATCCCACTTTACTGAGAGTGTTTATCAAGAAATGGTGTTGGATTTTGTCAGAAGCTTATTATGCATCAATTGATATGATTAGGCAATTTTATCTCTCAATTAGTTGATCACATTTATTGATTTGCGATATTGTACCATCCATGCATCCCTAGAATAAATTCCACTTGGTCATGGTGTATAATCTTTCTAATGTAATGCTGGATCTAACTTGCTAGAATTGTGTTGAGAATTTTAGCATATATTTTCATCAGAGATATTGGTCTGTAATTATCTTTCTTTGTAGTGTTTTTATCTGGTGTTGGTATTAGGGTACTGCTGGCTTCATAGAAAGAGCTTGGAATTGTGCAGTCCCTCTTGAAATTTTTGGAGTAGTCTGAGGAGGATAGGTTTTAGTTCTTCTTTAAATGTTTGGTAAAACTCTCCTGTGAAGCTGTCTAGCACAGAGGTACTATTTACTGGAAGTTTTCTGATCATTGCTTCAATTTCCTCCATATTTATCAGCCTATTCATTTTTCCTATTATTATTATTCCTATTCCTATTATTATTATTATTATTATTATTCCTGAGTGAGTTTTGAAAGATTGTGTTTTTCTAGCAATATATCCATTGCATCTAGGTTGTGCAGTCTGTTGGAACAGAGATGTTTATATTATTTCTTTTTACAATCTTTTCTGATTTTGTTTATTTGGGTCCTCTCTCTTTGCTTTTTAGTGAGCCTGGCTATCAATCTTATTTATACTTTCAAAGAACCAGCTCTTGGTTTTATTGATCTTTTGTATTTTTCTTGTCTCTAGGTTGTTCAGTTATACTCATTTTTATTATTTCCTTCCTTCTTCTTACTCTGGCCTTTTCTAATTGCTCTCTTTCTAATTCTTTAAGTTGTAGGATTAGATAATTTATTATCCATTTTTTCTTGTTTGTTGAGTTTTGGCTTGTAGTGCTGTGAACTTTCCTCTCACGACTACTTTCAGTGTTTCCCATAAATTTTGCATTGTTGTGTTTACATTGTCATTTGTTTCCAGGATGTTTTTTTTTTTTTTTAATTTCTTCTTTGATCTATTTGGTAACCTAATTATTGTTTAATATCATGCTATTTAACCTTTAAGTATTTGATATTTTTAATTATACTTATAATGGTTGACTTCCAGTTTTATGCCATTGTGATCTGAGAAGATGTTTTCTTATTTCAATCTTCTTGAATTTGAAAAGACTTTGCCTGTGTCCCAATATGTAGTCTATCTTTGAAAATGTCCCATGTGCACTTGAGAAGAATATATATTCTGTAGCTTTGGGATTAAGTATTCTGAGGATGTCCATCTGATCTAGTGAGTCATTTAGGATTTCTGTTTCTTCACTGATTATTTTTTGTCTAGAAGACTTATCCAATGATATCAGTGGGGCATTAAAGTGTCCTACCATGATTGTATTGCTATAAATGTTTTCCTTGATACCTTCCAAAAGTTTTTATTTTATTTTATGTATTTGGGTGCTCCTTTATTGGGAACATATGTTTATCAGGGTTGTATACTTTTGTATCAATCCCTTTAGTATTATGAAGTGGCCTTCCCTTTCTCTTGTGATGGCCTTCATTTTGAGGTCTATTTTGTCAGATATAAATATTGCTAACCCTGCTTTTAATTTTTATTTTCCAATTGCCTGAGTTATTTTTTTCCCACCCCTTCACTTTCAGTCTGTGTGAGACCCTTATTCTGAGGTGTGTCTCTTGTAGTCAACATATATAATAGCATGACATTCTCTTATCCATTGAGCCACCTGTGACATTCTCTTATCCATTCAGCCACCTGATGTCTTTTGATTTGAGCATTTAATCCATTTACATTTAAGGTTATTATTGGTAAATACTTGTCTTTCACCATTTTATTCTTTATGCCTGTGTTCCTTTTTCCTTCTTATTGCTTTTTCTTTCTTTGTCTTTCTTTTCTTTTTTTTTTTTCAGCAGTCCATTTAGCATTTCTTGCATTGCTGCTTGGTAGTAATTATCTCCCTTAGCCTTTTTTTAGTCTGTGAAGCTCTTCATTTCCTGTTCAAATTTTGAATGATAGCCTTGCTGTACAGATTATTCTTGTATTCAGTCTATTGCTTTGCATCACTTTATATACTTCATTCCATTCCCTTTTGGCCTGGTGTGTGTGTGTGTGTGTGTGTGTGTGTGTGTGTGTGTGTGTGTTTGAGAAATCAATTGATAATCTAGTGGGAGATCCTTTGTAGGTAACATTCTTTCTCTCTTGCAGCCTTAAGATTCTCTCTTTGTCATTATTGTTTGCCAGTATAATTACAAAGGGTCTTGTGCATTTTTTGCATTGCTTTTATTTTGGACTTTCTGTGCTTGGGTAACCTTTTCTTTCCCAAATCAGAAAGTTTTCTGTCATTATGTCTTCAAATAGGTTTTCTAATCCTCTCTCTTTTTCTTGTCCTTCTGGCATGTCTATTATATTATTAACCTGGTGAAAGGAAAAAACACAACATGTCCAAGAAACATAGAGATTCCCAAACAAGATGAACTCAAAGAGGCCAACAACAAGACACCTGATAATTAAATGGCAAAGATTTAATAGACAGAGAAAGTATTAAAAGCTGTAAGAGAAAGACAGTTACCTATGAGGAAGCTCCCTCATAGGCAATTAATATATAACTTTTAATAATAACTTTATAATTTTTTTAGTATTTCAAAAAATGATTTTAAATGTAATAATACTACATGCAATAAACATTAATATTTTCAAGAAAAAAGATTTCAAATATAATAATATTACCAAAACTGTACTAACATACTATAATATCAGAAAAGTTGTAATAAATATTAAAAATCTGAAAATAGTAGAAATCCTTATATTATATCCCCAAATATTTTTTCCTCTGGTTCAATTTTTATCATCTTATGCTGTTCATTATATGCCAAAAATGAGGGATATTTATTTATCTTTCTCTGACTGGCTTATTTTGCTTAGCATAATGCTCTCCAGTTCCATCCATGCTGTTGCAAATAGTAAGAGTTCCATCTTTGTTACAGCAGTGTAGTATTCCATTGTAGTGATGTACCTCAGTTTTTGAATCCACTCGTCTGCTGATGGGCACTTAGGCTTTTTCCAAATCTTAACTATTGTAAATTGTGCTGCTATGAACATAGGGGTGATATGTCCTTTCTGATGGGTATTTCTGATTTCTTGTGACATATTCCTAGAAGTGGGATTACTGGGTAAAAAGGGAGCTCCATTTTTAATTTTTTGAGGAAATTCCATGCTGTTTTCCACTGTGGTTGCATCATTATGCATTCCCTCCAGTAATTCATGAGGGTTCCTTTTTCTCCTTGTCCTCACCAGCGCTTGTCATTTGTCAATTTGTTGCTGATAGCCATTCTGACAGGTGTGAGATGGTACCTCATTGATATTTCAATTTGAATCTCTTGGATGATTAGTGAATTTGAGCACGTTTGCATATGTCTTTTGACCTTTTGTATGTCCTCTTTCAAAAAGTGTATATGTAGATCCTTTGCCCATTTTTTATTTATTAATATTTGTTTTTATTTTAGTTTTTGCTTTTCAAATGACCTTTAATTGAATCATTTTCTTTTGTAGTTCTTAACTAGCCGGACATTCCACTGCACCACTGTTGATTTCATCTATGATGTCATGAGGGTGGCGGCCATCAACATTGCACCCCACAGACTGGGCAGTCCCCAGGATCCCTTTAATAGTTCCAAAGAGTTCTCTAGCTAAAGATTGGTGCTGCATCTGTTGGGCAATGCTGACAATCTCATTGAATGTGATATTTCCACTGTGCTTAATGTTTTTTTGCTTCTTTCTGTCTCTTGGAGGTTCTTTGAGGGCTTTGATGATCAGGACAGAGGCAGAAGGCACTATTTCAATCTGGGCCTGTATGTTCTAAAATGGTCAGTTTCACTGTAATCCTCAGATCCTTCCAATCACCAGTTGCTTTGGCGATGTCATCACCAACCTTTTTTGGAGGCAGGCCCAGGGGGCCGATCTTGGGGGCCAGGGCAGACGTGGCACCCACTTCCCCACCAGTGCACCTCAGGTATACAACTTTGATCTTGTTGGGGTCAAACTTCGACAGCATGGTGGAGGCAGCTGGTGTCAGATGAACTTGGATTCAGGACGACCGAAGAAAATTGCACCTGAGCTTCCTCTGAGCCGGAAGCTGAAAGAAAACTTTGCCATTTTTAAATTGGGTTGTTTATCTTTCTTTGGGTGAGTTGTATAAGTTTCCTGTAAATTTTCAAGATTAAACCCTTATTGAAGATAACATTGGCAAATATGTTCTCTCATGCAGAGGGCTTTCTTGTTATTTTGTTGATTGTTTATTTTGCAAGACAAACTTTTTTTTAATGTAGTTCCATTTGTTTATTTTCTCCTTAGTTTCCATTTCCTTAGGAGTTGTATTGGTAAAGATATTGCTATGACATCTATCTGATATTTTGCTGCCTATGGATTATTCTAAGATTTTTATGACTGTCTGTCTTACATTTAAGTCCTTTATCTATTTTGAGTTTATTATTGTGTATGGTGTATGTTGGTGGTCTAGTTTCATTTTTTGCATGTATCTGTACAATTTTCCCAACACCATTTATTGAAGAGACTCTCTTGACTCCATTGCATGTTCTTGCTTCCTTTGTCAAATATTAATTGAGTATAATAACTTGGTTCTACTTCTGGGCTCTCTGTTCAGTTCCATTGGTCTATATGCCTGTTCTTGTGCCAGGCAGTTTTGAGAACAGTTGCTTTGTAATATAGCATGATATCTGGTATTGTGATCCCTATAACTTTATTTTTCATTCTCAGGATTCCTGTAGCTCTTTGGGGTCTTTTTTATTCCATATGAATTTTTCGATAGGTTGTTATATGTCTATGAAATATTCTGTTGGCATCTCCATAGGGATTCCATTGAATCTATAGATTGCTTTCGGTAGTATGGACATTTTAATTATGTTGATTCTATCAGTCCATGAACATGGTATATTCTATCATTTGTTTATGTCTTCCTCTATCTCTTTTTTCAATGTCCTATTGTTTTTCAAATATAAGTCTTTTACCTCCATAGTTAAATTTATTTCTAGGTACCTTAATATTTTTGTTGCTAAGATAAATGGTATCACTTTTTTGTTTTCTTTCTGTGAGTTCATTGTTGGTGTATAAAAAAGCCATAGATTTCTGGGTATTAATTCTGTATTAATTCTGTATGCCAAATTCTTTTATTAAGTCTAGTAGTTTTTTGATGGAGTCTTTGAGGGCTTCTATGTGAAATATCATCTTATCTTTGAATAAGGACAGTTTTATTTCTTTTTCAATTTGGATGCCTTTTCTTTTTTCTTATCTGATTTCTATGACTAGCACTTCTAGTGCTATGTTGAACAGGAGTCGTGAAAGTAGGAATCCCTGTTTTGTTATGTTCATCAGGGATATTGGCCTGTGATTTCCTTTCTTTATAATGTCTTTATCTGGTTTTTGAATTATGATAATGTTGTAATCATAAAAAGAGTTTGCAAGTGTTCCTTCCTCTTGAATTTTCTGAAATAGTTTGAGGAATATAGGTATTAATATTTCTTGGAATATTTGGTAAAGCCATCTGGACCAGGGCTTTTGTTTGGTGGGAGTTTTTTCTATTACTGCTTCTATTTCATCAGGTATTAGTGGCCTATTCATGTATTATTATTATTATTATTATTACCGATTCACTTCTGGGAGATTGTATTTTTCTAGAAATTTGTCTGCTTTATCTACATTGTCCAACTTGTTGGCATATAGTTGTTCATGGTATTTTCTTGTAATCCCTTGTATTTCTTTGATGGTAATAGTTACTTCTTACTTTCATTTTTTATTTTATTTATTGGAGTTTTCTCTCTTTGTTTCTTGATGAGTATGGCTGAGGGTTTATAAATTTGTTTTATCCTTTCAAAGAACAGCTCTTGGTTTCATTGGTGTGGGGGATTTTTTTGTGTGTGTGTATTTTTATATAATCACTTTAAATGTAAATGGTTTAAATGCTCCTATCAAAAGACATATGATATTACATGGATGTTTCTCTGTTTCATGTCCCAAATCTATGTTAAGCTGTCCTCCTACTTTTTAGTTTTTTTCTCCAATTGCTGTGCAGATTCATTGTTTTCTCTACCCTGTCTTCTGACTCACTAATTTGGTCCTTTGCTTCTTCCAGTCTACTGTTGAAACCTTCTGTTATATTCTTTATTCTAGCTATATCATTCTTAATTTCCTCTTGATTCTTACATATGTTGTTGATTTTTCTCATCCAGCCAGTTTGTGAACTTTATGACCCTTAATATGAGTTCTTTTTCTGATATATTGCTTGCCTCTCTTTTATTTAGTTCCTTTTCAGGTGATTCCTCCTTTTCTTTCTTTTTCCATTTTTTTAAAATTAAGGTTTTATATGTGTAGGTATCTTACCATTGCCCCACCCTCAACCCACTCCCATACATGCCCTCACCACTCAGTGTTTAACATCCATTGAATATGCTTATATGCATGCACACAAGTCCTTTGGTTGATCTCTTATCTTCCCCACCTCTCCCTAAACGTCCCACTGAAATTTGACTGTCTGTTTGGTGCTTTACTGTCTCTGTATCTATCTTTTTGTTCATCAGGTTATAATGTTCTTTATTATCCATAAATGAGTGAGATCATGTGGCATTTTTCTTTCATTGACTCGCTTATTTCACTTAGCATGTTGTTCTCCAGTTCCATCCAGGTTGCTACAAATGGTAAGAATTCCTTCTTTTTTATGGCAGCATAGTATTCCAATGTATAGATGTACCATGGTTTACTGATCGAGTAATCTGCTGATGGGAACTTAGGCTGTTTCCAAATCTTAGCTATTGTAAATTGTGCTGCTATGAACATAGGAGTGCATATATCTTTTCTGATTGGTGTTCCTAGTTTCTTTCCTTTTTTTTTTTTTTTAAATATATTTTATTGATTTTTTGCAGAGGGGAAAGAGAGGGATAGAGAGTTAAAAACATCAATGAGAGAGAGTCACCGATCAGCTGCCTCTTGCACACCCCCTACTGGGGATGTGCCCGCAACCAAGGTACATGCCCTTGACCGGAATCGAACCTGGGACCTTTCAGTCCACAGACCTACGCTCTACCGCTGAGCCAAACAGGTCTCGGCAATGGTCCCAGTTTCTTAGGATATACTCCTAGGGGTGGGATTACTGGGTCAAATGGAAATTCCACTTTAATTTTTTTTGTTTTAGTTTTTTTTTTTGTTTTTTGTTTTTAAGAAACTCTATACTGTTCTCCAAAGTGGCTGTACCAGTCTGCATTCCCACCAGCAGTGCGTCTTTTTTTCTGAGGTGGGTTTCTTGTAGACAGTAGATATATGGGTCTTGTTTTCTTATCAAATCCGTTACCCTGTTTCTTTTGATGGGGGCATTTAATCCATTTACATTTAAATTTATTATTAATAGGTACGTTTTTGTTGCCATTCTTATTCTTTACCCTTGTGTTCCTTCTTTGCTTTCTATATTCTTTTTTTTTTTTTTTACAGCAGACCCTTTAGCATTTCTTAATTTCTAATTTGGTGGTGATAAATTCACTTAGTCCTTTTTTGTCTGTGAAGCTCCTGATTTCACCTTCAATTTTGATTAATAGCCTTGCTGGATACAATATTCTTGGATTCAGACCCTTCCTTTGCATGACTTTGTATATTTCATTCCATTTCTTTCTGGCGTGATGAGTTTCTGTTGAGAAATCAGTTGCTGGTCTAATGGGGGTTCCTTTGTATGTAACTTTATGTCTCTGTCTGGCCACTTTTAAGATTCTTACTTTGTCGTTGGTGTTTGCCAGTTTAATTATAATGTGCCTTGGCTTTGGACTTTTGGAGTTTATTTTGCTTGGGACTCTGTGAGCTTCTTGGATTTGTGTTTGTTTTTTCTTCTCTATATCAGGTAAGTTTTCTGTAATAATTTCTTCAAACAGGTTTTCTATTCCTTGCCCAGATTCCTCTCTTTCCTAAACCCTTATTATGTGGATGTTATTTTGTTTCGTGTTACCCTAAAGTTCCCTTAGGCTCTCCTCCTGCTTTTCAATATTTTTTTTTTTCCTAGAAGCTGCTCTAATTTGGTATTTTTCCCCACCTTGTCTTTTAATTCACTGATGTGATCCTCTGCTTCTTCTAGTCTACTCTTGATGCTTTCTATTGAGTTCTTTACAGCAACAATGCCATTTTTCACTTCTTCTTGGTTCTTCTTCATTTCCTCTTGGTTCTTACTTATATTGTTGAATTTGTCCTCCATTCTTTTTTGCCACCTTATGACCATTTATCTGAATTCTTCCTCCGACATGTTGCTAGCCTCTATTTCATTTACTTCCTTTTCTGGTGATGCCTGCTTTTCTTTCATATGCGGGCTGTTTCTTTGTTTCCCCATGGTCTCTTTTCTCTGGATGTCTGTTTATGTAGTTCTCTCTCTCCTTGTCCCAGGTGAAATGAAAACTTTTCATGGTGGAGTGCAGACCTCCTCTAAAACAACGTGTTTGCACCAATTGGGGACCTGGGTTCTGTAGCTCCCAGCTGTCCTGTGGTTGCTGCATTTGTAACTTTTCAAGCTTCTGATAAGATCCACTTTCCCCTTCTAGATGGCACAATCTCCGCGTCCTATCCGGTTGCTCTTGAATTACCTGGAGATAGCATCAGATTCTTCAGGTTGAGAGCTCAGGCCCATCAGTCTTCCCTCCACTTCAGATGCCAATAGCAAGTCTAGGTTATTATGTGTGCTTGTAACCAACTGGCTATAAATCTAGACGAGGAGTGGAGACAGAGGGAGAGCACTCAGTTCCTGGTCCTCTCTCCTTCTGATTACTCCTTTTCTTTTTTGGGAGGTGTTGTTTGTTTATCTCCCCATTTTTTTATGTCTCTTTCTTGCCCTGGGCTCCCTGCTTGAGGTCCAAGGGGTTGAAGCCCCTAGCAGTATAATGGTCTTGGACTCACTGGCTTCAGGGCTGGATCTTCTTTGATTTTCAAATCTTTATTTTCTCTGCTCTGATTGTACCATCTTCTTCCCTGCTTCTCGTCCCTCTGTGTCTGTTTCAGATTCTCAGGGTCAATTGGGGTATGTGCACAGTTGCTCTGGTTTGTGACTTCCTGTGAGGGCCCAAAGCCACTGGCATGCAATTCATTGCGTGACCCCATCACCCAAGAGAGGATGGTGCCATAAGTATCTGTGGCAGTGCACTTTTAGTGTGGTCCTGTTACCTGTGGCTGCTGAGCACAGCATGTCATACCAGCAGCTCTGACACAGTCCATGATTAGGGTGTATGTAGGCAACAGCTCCATATGTTCCGTGGGCAGAGCACATACTGGCATGAGGCTCTATCTGGGCCCTGGGTGGGCATGCACTGGCCAAAGTCTCTGTTTGTGCTGTCTCTGGGCGCCCCCCAAGCCATGGCTCTCTCTGTGCTTGGGGTGGTTTGTACACCAGCTGAGGGCTCTGTCTGGGCAGGGGTATAGTATGCACTAGGCTGTGGCTCTGTACTGGGTCCAGGGATGGACCAGGGCATAGGGTACCCCTGGCTTGCACTCACAGCATGGATCTGGTGCACATGATCCTGGGATTCCAGGTGTGGGGTCCAGTGAGAAGATGCAGCTTTAGTGGTGTTTCTGGAATGTGCTCACTGCAGATGTCTGGTACCCACATCACGGTATCATGCTGCTCACTGCTGGTGCAGGGTGGTGGTTCCTTGCAGGTATGGCTGGCAAGAGGCTCCTTGCACAGGTCTAGGGGTAGTGTCCAAGGTCAGTCTAGATGTTGGTATGGTGGCACTCCTGGCCTCTATTGTGCACCTTTACAAAATGGCATATGTTCAGTGCCAACACTGCACTGGCCTGGGAGTTCCCATGGCAGTAGCAGGTGCTCTCTGTCTAGAAGAGCCTGATCTGATAGTCCCTGGAACCCTGAGATAAATATCTGTCCCTTACACACACACACACACACACACACACACACACACACACACACCACATCCACACATGCCCCTCTCACTCCTTTACTCTGTCACACTCTCTCTCTCCCTGACTTCCCGTTGGCCATGTTCAAAGTTTCAAGCCTTCATCTTAACAGCTAAGTCACTCTTCCCATCTCTTAAAGTTATTCTTAATACAGCATTCCATGAACTCTCAAAAATTGTATCTTTTTACTT